TGTGAATCATCATGTGCCGAGTTAACTCCTGTTTTTCACTGAAACCTTTTCCACACTTCACACATGAAATCAGGTTTTGAACCGTATGAGTTCTCATGTGAGCATCAAAAACAGATTTTAAAGCGAAACGCTTTTTACAGATGACACATGAGAAAGGTTTTCTTCTTTCCTGAGTTTGCTTCTCAGCTTCAGCAGCTTCCTTTAAGAGGACTTGGTTCCCGTTTGGTCCTGATTCAGTTTGGTGTGTTTGCTCACCAACATGAACCAACATGCAGGTATCAGTCTCCTGTTTTAATTCAATCTGTTCTTCACACTGACTGCAGGAAACTTCTGTCTCTTCCTGGTCTTGTTTTCCCTGCAGAGGTTCTAACTCCTCCTGGTCCAGAGTGGATCTTCTCTCTTGGTTAAACTGCAGGGAACCTGGAGAAGAAAACAGAGAAAAAGAGTTATTGTTAACTTTATTGAAATAAGTAGGAAAAATCTTGCATTGTTTAAAACAGAAATCAACATAAAATACTTGAAAATTCAAAAGCGTAGACAGAGAGACAGATCAGTCGTCACATCCAACTGATATTTGGAGAATTCTCAAATGAACGGATTAAAAAAATATATTTTATCATATCGCAAAATTAATAGTAGGGATTATTGTTGATATTTAACAGTAAATTGCATTATGTCAAGATGTTATTTATTTGTATTAGTCTTTATTATATTAAAATGTTATTTTAGTCCACTTTACATCTTTGGGGTTTATTTACAAACTTGAGTTTATTTGTAGGCTAATAGTTGTTTAGTTTTTGTTCCTTTGTTATTTACTTTTCTAAGTTATACAGGAAGAATTGTGGGTCCATTTTCCGTCACTATAGGGACTGGTATCGGACCAGCATGCACTGGGGTTGGGCCTGTAGGTTTTGACCAGAGCAGCAGAGGAAACAATGAAAAGTAGTGATGATGAGATGAAGCTTCATGAAGCCCTGAGGAACTCCATCCAATCACTGGACTCATGAGCCGATGCACCGCGTTTAGGTGAGTTCTCCGTTTTATTTGCTTCATAAAATTTATCATGGATTAATCGACACACCACTAATGAAAAGTTTGACCAAATTTGTGAAGCAAATCATAAAGTTTGACCTTTGTTATTTGCTTGTCAAACTGGAAAAAAATAAACAATAAAAAAATCTTCAAGGTTTTTGGACATTAAACTTTTATCTACATATGAAGCATCACCTCAGTGTAGCGGTGGCTTCTTGATTGGACTTTTATAGAATATTTGGTTTGACAAACAATCGCCACTACGATTTATTTATTACACATTATAAAATTTTACAGCTACTAACAGCTCTACTAATATTTTATGTTGCTTGCTTTACTAATCTTGCACTGCATTGTTCACATTTCTCCAGTTTTCTGAAG